ATGCTTTCTTAGCTCGCAGCTCCCACTACACCAAGGATTTAAAGAACATTTAGGGAGGAGGACAGTCTATGCAGGCATTTGCTCAGGAGACACTATACATCATTTTAATATTTCAAATACTTCTGCAACCTCAAACAAGCCTAAATTGTTTCTAAAATTCCAGCACGTCAGATACCTCCCTGAAGTTTAACTCAAATTCTCATCTTTTTCTAACAAGATGCCAGGAAACAGAAAAGAGCCTGTTCCCAAAAATTTCGATAAAATTCAGTTAAATTATCCAGATGGTTTTCATTCCACAGAAAATACTAAACCAGCAGTCTGCAAAGCAGAGCGTTTTCTAAATACACAAAATAAAGAGAAAACAATGCACAAGTGGAAAGTGCAAATGCTGAGCCCATTATATTTTTGTTCCAGCAGAAATGCAACACAATCAATACAATCTTGCAGTGCTAAAGGACCCAGCTTTTTGCTGCCAGGGGTGCTCTGCAGCTGTAAGCACCACCAAATAAACTACACGCAGTTCAACCACTTCATTTTTCCTGTGCTACTTGCAAAAAGGAGGAACTGCATTCCCACCCACTTAACCTCCAAAACTCAGCAATCACTACAGCACAAGAAGCCAAAGAGCACCTGCTGAACAACCTATGTACTTTGAATGACTCTGCAAGCAGCCAAATTTAGCAAATTTGCTATTTTCTCCAAAGCACAGCCTGATTCTGCAGCTCTTAAATACAGGGAAAACTGTCTTAGATTAAATAGTGATTACAGATTTAGAATTTCAAGAGCTGTGAAAGTCCTTGCCACAGAAAATAAACCTACTGAGAAAAGATGAGGATAGATACTGCAATTTTCTGTGCCGTGCTATTTAATAAATATCAATGCAAAGGAATTGAATTACAGATAGAGAAACAAGCATCTATATAATTACACAACACCTGAAATCATTCAAATCCGCCACTAGCAGAAACAAAAAACTGATCAGCATGACATGAGCCATGAAAAAAATCTCTCTGCAGTCAGAGATGGATATTCATCCCTTTTACATGGCATCTAACTAAAATGTTTCATAGCAACAGGGCAGGAGTTATTCCACAGCAGGAGATGGGACTGGTTATCACACAAACCAGCACCACCCTGCTGAGTACACCCCAAAAACGAGAGGAGAAAACAGGCCAGTGAGCAAACTCAGTACTTAAACTGAGTTTCTCAAAGAGGAAGAAATCCCTGAAGTGTTTCTTCTTTAGATCACTAGCATGTTTTCTCACGCAGGGCTGCTGGCTGGCCTCACCCCCAGCCCTGCTGAGCGCCGCAGCACAGCGACAGCGCAGCGATGCTCTCGCAGTCCTTGGGGAGAGCAGGACCCTGTGCCCTCCTAAAACAGCTCTTCAGGCTGCCAGGAAAAGCTCCGATGCTCCCGCAGTACTTGGGGAGAGCAGGACCCCGTGCCTTCCTAAAAGCTCTTCAGGCTGCCAGGAAAAGCTCTGAGGATGGAAATGGTGGGTTCAGCAGCTGATAAAGCCACAGTCAGGTGCCCCTGGTTGAAACTCACTGCAAGAGCCACCTTTTCTCAGCAGCTTCCTCTCACAGAGCTGGTGCCCAGCGTGCCTCTCAGCACAGCAGAGCAGCCTTCAGGAACACAAGATCACTGGACGTGTTCCTCTGTAGGTGTGTTTATAGACTTAAGTAGTGCTGCAAGGCAAAAAAGCCAAATGATCCCCCAGTTTCAAAGAGCAAGTGCCTGTAGATCCCACCTGAAAACCAAGAACACACGCCCCAGACTGGGGCAAGAGACCACTGCAGGCACAGACAGGGAAACTTTGCCTTATGGACATCTTTGCACCCCAGCACAACTCTTACAAGTACCTTCATTAGAAAGGCCAAGTGAGGGATAATTATGGCTCCTCCACATAGGAGGACTGCTTTGGAAAGACAGCAATTACTGCCTGCTTGGAGGGATCTCTCCCAGAAAGCAGGAGGCTGCTGTAAGGTAGCGCAGCCAATTCCTTGGGAAACACCAAAAAAGCTGCAAGGAAGACCTCCTCCCCAGCTCTGAAAATGTCCAGCAGCAGCATCAGGCCCCTTCCAGACAACCCTGGTTTTGTTGTAGGGGCAGCTCCAGCACCTTTGAGAGCCTCATAACAGGCAGACCCATTTCACATTTTTCCCTACATTACTTGACACATTTGAAAAACAGTCTTTGCTGGCCCACAGCATTTCCAGGGTTAACAGCCCCTACAGCACAGCTTTGTACAGTATCAAAAGTTGCATTAGCTGGGAACCAAATTATCACTTGCACAGTAGTTTTGCAATTAGATTGAAACTGTAAATTACGCAACCAGCTAAATTAAAAAACAAGTTTGTGATACAGACATAGTCTTAATTCAGCTCCTGCCTTACTACCCTTACTCCTTTGTAACTTGTTTCTACACAGATTCAAGCTTCTTTTGCTGTACCACAAATGACTTCACATTCCTAAAAAATTAAGCACTCCTAAGAACTAACGTATGTTTGTCGTCACTCTTAATACCCACCTTTGCCTGAAGCTGCTTCACCAACACACAGCACTCCGAGAGGCCTTCTGGGCACCAGAGCCCACACCACCCTTCATCTTCCTTGCCTTCCTGCACCATTTCAGGGCTCCTTCCCTTCATCCAACTCCCTCTGCCCCAAATATCACCATTCTTACTTTGAGCAGGTCCCCATATGTACCTCAACTACAGAAATTTGAACTACTGCCTTTTAGATGGAGCTGAAAACCATCTATTTTCTGAGCACATCTTACTTGCTTCCTGGTAGAGTTGTTCCACTTTGTACCAGTGACTATTTTCTGGAGCAAAGTCAGAACATCCAATGCAAATATTCTCTCCCTTGTGTTACACCAAGCCACTCCTGCCCCTACCAGGCTCAAACAACACTACAATGCAAAATGGAGTAGCTTCTGCAAAAAAAAGACACCTCACAAAGTCCATGGTTTATGTTTGGGCACTCACAATACTGTGTCTTGAGTCACAGTCAGGACTGGAACTCAAAACTTCAATGTGCTGAGTGGACAAAGCTAGGGCAGGGGGATGTCACACTACCTGCTCTTCCTCATTTCTGCCAGAGCACACCTGCCCTGGGCACGTCACTCCAAGGAGGGTTTAGCAACAGCTCCCCTGGACCTGACACCCAGCTCAGCTCAGCAGCCTCTCACAGCTTGCTCTGGCCATTCCCCAGCTCCAGATCAGTGCTCACCAGCCTACTTTGAAGCCACCCCGAGTTCTTTAAGGAACCCAGACACCCACCTTGTGGGGTTTTTTTTAAATTCCACTAGGCAAGAGAACACATAAAAATGAGATGATGCAAGGCTAACCCGAAGCTCCCCTAATGAACACAGCCCCAAATGTCCAACAGGATGTGACAGGTGGAGGGGCAGGCGAGCCCAGCCGAGATGAGGTCACGAAATGAGCACTTTGCACAGCACACTACTAATCTTAAATTCCAAACTCATTATGCACAAGCCTAACAAACAAAGGAGCAGCTTAGCAGATTTATAATGTACCTTCTCCAAGGTTGGAATAATTATTTATCTGATAGCAACCTTCGTGATACAACAGCAATAAATAAATAAATGATCCCAGTAACTCTTGTGAACCGTGCCTGTGGCTTCACTAGACAGACTGACAGCTGGAATGTGCATTTAGCTGGCTGAGCTTGGGCAGAGTTGTAAATATTTGCTACAAATAAAATAAAGCTTGCTAGACTGAGCAGAAACCCAAACACAGTAGTTAATGGCATCCAGGGGACACACTTCAAGAGACTCACAGGCCCCTGAACTCCTTCCAGCCCCTAGGTTTTTTTTTCCCTTTGCTTTTCTCTAAGACCATTCCCTCCTGCATGTGTACACACATCAATACCATTCTGATTTCACTCTCTCAAGTTGCAACTTTTATCCAGACCGAAGTCCACAAACATTATGGAAAGGGTTTGTATTCCTAATTTGGCTTTACAGCTGCATATTACCATGCAGTGACACATCCAGAAAAAGCATTTCCAAAGTCATGCTTTATACAAGTTTTCTCCTTTATTTAGATAAAAACCCAAAGAATCCTGAAAGGAAGTAGTACATGTGCACAAAACATGCCAGCTAGGCTCTCCCACTCAGATCTCTCATATCCTTTTTCACTTCTATGGCATTATTCCGACCTCCCAGTTTGAAGCCCCAGAACCACATGTTCCCCTTGCCCATATTCCCAATTTCTCACCATCTGACAGATTCCTAAGTCTGCTCCCATCTTCTCACCCTGAAACAGTGCCTCCAGCCCAAGTTTTCTAGCTGGCTGCTTCTCTTCCAGGAAGGATCACAGCAGTTCCTGTTTTATGTGTTTATATGTTACAACAGGACAGCTGGCAGTAAGATTAGTAACAATCATTGATTGCTCCAGTCTCCATCCTGCAAAGCATCCTTCAGTTGGGACATTCTGGTTGTTCCACTTATTGTTACTTTTCTCCCACCTCCAGACCCCAATTCCCCTGCCCTACTTGTTTCCCCCATTCCTCCAGCAGTTTGTGCAGTCACATATTTGCAAAGAAAAGAGACAGCATCACAGCACTTGGGTTACAGGCAAGCTTTAACAATATACTGTTATCACATTGAAACTGGCAAGATTCCAGCACCTAAATATCTCAGAGATTATCATCATCTTTCCAGGAACCCAAAATACCAATATTCACCCAGATTTTCTCAGAATTCACCCCAAATAAATTCTTTAATGCAACAGTAGGCCAAACCAGGCACATAATCCTTGCACACAGAGATTGCTTTTGTAGGTTTAAACAGACACAGACATCCTTCCAACTCTCCAAAACTTGTGCTCTCTTCAGAAGCAGCCTCACAGGGTGGTCTGAGAAGACCAGCCCCCCAACATGTTCTCCCCAGCCACACCAGCCCAAACAGCAGGTTCAGGTGGGTTTATGCCCCTTTTGTGCCAGAAGAGCAGCCAAAGGAAGGTGCAACGTACCTGTGAATCTAGATCAGTGTTTTTTGGGGAGCAGTTGAGGAGGATGAATCCAGGTCTTCCCAGAGGTGGCAGCTGCAGCATCGTCCCCAATGCAACTGTTTCCCTGAGCTGTAATATCCCTATGAAATACCAACTGCAGGACTGGGCTCCAGCCACCTGACACTGCACCTGAGGTGCTCTAGAGTAAGAGAAGAAGGGTCTGAAAAAAAGGCACTTGTTTGTTCTTGATGCTCATTTCTGCATGGAACACAGAATTCACAAACCCCACATCTGCAAATGTATGTCTGCCTGCATTGTAAAGGAATAATCTTCATGGGAACTGATTTAAAAAAAAACTTGTTTACGGTTAGAGGCTGCTAATTACAACATTAAAATACTAGCCCGAACCCCACATTACACTTGCATTCTGTTTTACATAGCAGTACACGTAACAATCATCACAGCAAGCTGCTCTGTTGGCTCATGCTGGAAGAAGTAATTATATATCACAGCAACACAACTTTGCCCTTCAACCTGCCAGTCCAGTCCATGCAGCAGCTGCGAGCAGCAGGTCAGGGCGGGGGGAGCCTACAGAGTGTTTCTACATAATCACTTACCACTGAAGGAAAAAAAGCTAAAAACCACCAGCCCCTGGCTTGCATGCTTGGCAGAAAGCTGCTAACACAAACATTACAGCAGGCCTTGCAGCAGGGATGTTACCAGAAAAAGTGAGCTCGATCCAAGGGGACTATCAGAGTTGAAGTATTAGCTGAGAGTCGTAGTGCAAGCCCTCCTTAGCAATTGTCACCTTTTTTGTGCCTGTACCAATGATACCCACCCTATCCTGTCTCACTTGGGACACTACTGTGGCCTCTCTGAAACACCTATTCTCAGGTGAAGCCCACAGGCAGGCCTGTGCAAGTCACAAGCTGAATTTCTGGGTAAAGACACTGAGACAGAGCCTTTCAAAAGGCACCCAAAACTGTTAGTGCCCACCCACAGCAAGCAGAGCCTTGGGGTGCCTAACACTAAAAACTGCACTTAACTTCTGCTCCAGATGGACTGGAGAACAGGATGACCTCTTCCAAGACTTTGGCTCCAGTGAACCTGAATATTTCAATCTTGACACTCAAAGCAGCATCAGGTTTTTCACAGCTGTTGCAGATAAAGCAGTGGCATAGTTATATTGTGAATATGCAATAAAATTCATTTTCCTTTGATGGGTTTTTTTTCACCAGTATGAAATGAAGTGTATAACTACACACAAACCATTAGTTGTACTGTTACTGTTTAACTAGAGATTATAAAAAAATAAATCATCACAGTTCTTGTATAATATGATAGTGATGCAACAGTTAACTGTCCAGCAAAATCTGCCATGCCAGGCTGCTTAATCATGTTGTCTTTGTTCCAGCAAAAAATTATATTAAAAGACAGTTAATTTTTCCAAGCAAAAACGTTACAGCCTGTGTATTTCAAAAACTTTTTGAATCCAAAATAGAACGAGACAGACAATAATGGCCAAGAGCCTGACCAGCTTAATGGAAGTTGGACTCTCATTTTGTTCCCAACACTGAAACAGCAGATTGTTCACAGAACACAATTAACAGCCAACACACAATTTCAACTTTTTTTAGCAGAAAAGTAAACAGAAAATTACTCCTTCTGTTTCATTTTCTAAGTCTTAAAGCATGTTGTTTTTAAAAGCAAACACAGAAACAGGACAGTATCGTTAAGTGTCAGAACATGTTTCTCCTGTACCCTCATTTTTAAGCAGCTGTACTGATTTTTTCCCAATCAACTTTTAATCAAGAGAACATTTTTAAGAGGCTGAATTTGCTTGCAAAATAGTGCATCTGCAAGTCTCTTCTGCTCTCACTTCCAGTTTTCTTCTAGATCCTGACCAGGCTGTACAGCAGGAATTAGTCATGCTGCCTACCACCGTGCTGGGAAGGACCTCTGATACATTGCCCTAAGTGCCAAATAAAAACATACACAGGCTCTGCAATTACTTGTTAATGACAGTGGACAGATTCACAGCAGCCCCACAAATTCTGTACCAGAAGCTTGTGAAATGACCTCCACTCTACGTGGGGAAATGAGCAGTACCAGGGGCAGCCCAGCTCTCCATCAGCAGGGCTGCACAGGCTTATCTTCAGCCTTTTAAGAGACAGAAATATATTGATTCAAGTGATCACCTGGAATCTGCAAACCAACAGCAGCCAGCTAGGGAAGTTTCCTGCTTACCAGAAAAGTATGGATTTCTTTCAAGCAGAATGCATATGTACTTGTACACAACTAATGCAGCCAGCAGTCTGGTAAATAAAAAGCAAACACATGTGCTTGCTAAAAGATGCACAGTCAGTGCAGCCAGCTCAGCCTCAAAATATCTGTGCCCTCTCTGATCAGCTTGGCAGCCACACAAAACCCTCCCGAGGAAAGCAGGCCAGGGAAGCAAAAAGGTGACGCTCAATAGTTCGTATCAAAGCAAATGCTGAACTGAATTTCATGGGCTATTTCTGTTTCCTTGCTAAATAGCAAAGGCCTACTGCAAATAACAGAGTGAGAGTTTTGCAGGAGAGAAAAGGTCACCCAGGATCTCTCACCATGGCAAATGCTGTGCTACAGACAGGGAGCAGCACCAGCTCCCTGTGTAAAGAAATATACGGAAATACCACTTATTGTCTCCACATGTTTATACAACAGACACTCCAACAGCAGCCTTTCCTTTTAAGACTGTTTTCAAAAATAAAAAAGTACAAAAAGCTGTGGTGAGGGTTTCCTTCCAGTGCAGCGAATTTGAGGTGCAGAATAAACATGGAATTATTGACTCAGTCACAAAAATGTTACCGGAGAGATTTCAGAGACATACTTCTGGCTTAGCTCTACTCCCACTGACGTTGGTTCAGACTTCTACCACTGATTTCAGGCAGTGCTGGCCTACGTAGCACTTCCAGCTCAGCTATTATTACCTTTTAGTTTAAAATATGTAATGTTCCTCTGTAACAGACGGAAAAATATTTCAGGAACTTTTTAAATCTGTTCCTCCGAGATACATTTTGATTTTTTTTTAATCACACTGAGACACGGTTCCTGGATGCAAGAACATGTGACCTGTTCTAAATAAAGGATATTTTCCACTTCTTGCACAACTGGAACAGATATAAGCAGTAGCTTGAACAAACTGCATTGCAGAACCCAACCAGAATATAAAACACTTGAACAAGATCCATAAATAGCAGTAATATGAAAAGACTACCTCCAATAAGGCACAAACTCAATGTTAAGCCTAATGTAATCAAGTTCAAATTCAATCACGCTGCAAAGTTCATTTACAAAATTAAATTTGATCATCTGCAGGCTAAGGCACTAGGGCACTTCAGAAGAGTCCTCTTTGGCTCCAGAGTAAGCACGCATTTCAAAATGTGTCTATTGACAAAATTAATATTTCTTCAACAATCATTGTGTATTAAAAGGGAAGCTTGAACTACATCAAAACTTCAGCATTGAGCAGGTAAGAGGAAAAAAACAAAAAGTAAAGCTTTACAGAGGATCCTAACTGGAAGGAGATGAGGCACCAGCTGATATGAGTAAAATATTGATGGTTTGCACAAAGGAAAAGGTTTTTGGACAGCAGGAATGAAGAGAATTTTATAAAGACATCGCTGCTTTAATAATGACAAACTCTACATCCCAACGTTATTGCTCATAAAACAAAAATAAGCCTCCTAAGAAACTAACATGCAAATTAAATGCATTTCCTAATATTTTCTTCCACTAAAAATACTTCAGTAACTGCATCATTCAGGTGCTTTTTAACCAGTCTGAAAATATAGGCAACAGAAAAGGGCACAAATAGCAGTAATTTATCTGCAGGCTTTATTAAGAGCAGTAAATTACAACAGCTGACAATAATTTGCTGGTGTTTGCCATGTCACACAGACCGTCCAAATGAAAACACATTGCAGACAACAAAAAAATACTGAGAAAATCAACTTAACATAGAAAATTTTGCTGCATTTGCCACACCTGGGTTGGTTCAGAGTGCCCTGTGCAATGGCAGGCTGTACAGCCTTTACCTCCAATACCAGTTTGGCATCCAAAACATTGCCAAATGATTTAAAGTGTCCACATTGGAGATGTAACTCAATCCTCCAGTGCCCTGCTGACTGCGTGCAGACACGTCAGGACCTGTGTTTACTTTTGGTAATAAAACTCCATCGATTTCACTGTACACTGCTTGTACAAGGAAACAAATCTTATTTGCTTGCTCATTACATAAACACATGCATATTTAAGTGTATGTACTTGTAGATTAAGACTATTATACTTTATGAATATGATAGAAGAGGAATAAAATATGAATATGAGGGGGGGAAAATAGATCTCATTGTCTTACTGGGTAGCCTGAAAGCCCATTTTCCTCCCACAGAGAAAAATTACTCTGGAGAAACCAAATCAACTGGAACATCATCTCAGTTTTCAAAGACATTTGACCATGGCAAATTCCAGAGATCCCATGAATGTAGGTATGACTTTGCCCAAGGATCCAACTTCTTATGAGTTGGGAGGGTTTGGGAAGCATGGGTTTGACTGATCTATCTCAGCCCCATGTATCCTCTCCACCCCCTGTGATTAAAGCTTTTGCTGGGCTTACATTTTAACTTGGCCTCTAGCATTCAATTGTGGCTTGGCCTAAGCTAGTACAGTATTTACTGCAAAAAGCTTTTATTATTGGACCCCTTGTGGCTTTGGATTGCAGACTTGAATTATGAAACAGGGATGGAGTAACTGTGAGGGCACGCTGGAGAGGAGAAATCTTCAACTGGATGTCACATATTGGAAAACAAGAAATCTGTGAGCAAATAGGAGGGTTTCATGGAGAGAAGGACAGCAGTATCAGCAGGGCTGAGTTAAACTGGTCAACAAAACTGTTTCTTCTTGGTTCAGAGCACTGACATTCTTACCTATTTCTGAGCAGGATTAAATTTTCTCTGTACTCACAATTTCAGCTGCTATGAGTAAGCCAAGGATGCTTCTCAATTCTTATGGTTAAAAAGATCAGAGAAAGCCCTGAATGTTGCTAGGAAATCAGCAGTTCTCACCAGGGAAAAGAGCAGATTGCTGTTTAGACTCAGCTTCTCACATCAGCTCTGGTTTGCCTGCTCCCCAGGCACACTTCTGTGGAGAGGGTAAGAAAGCAATTCCCATGGCCACAGTCCCACAACTACACCACGCTGACCTGCTGCTACTCCGCTCACTGCTATGCAATTACTCCTGACTTACATCCACAGGAGAAAGCAGCAGGGTGATGCTGATACCCTCGATAATCATCAGTCAGACTGGTTCCAGGCCTCAGCAAAGCTGAAGGACTACAGA